TGAATATTGTAAGGAATTCATGCTTCCATAAAGTCAGATTTTCTAGGGGACATAGGGTGGAACTCGTAAAAATAAACAGCAGCAATAATTGTCATGTGACACATTACGTTCTCCCGACGACGAGCTTGAAGATGACTTGTGTTCTGGGATGATAGCGTCCTGGAGTTTAGTTGAAATTGAACGACGTTTCAGAGATGACTCATCGCTCTGATCATCGAGGCTGTAAGAACCCTGAAACGCCTGTCAGTTCCTGCCAGACTACACCGCGCAACATCCCAGAACACAGCCAAGTTCTAGAATGAACACGTCATTACTACCTGAGTGTAACCATGGCTACCGATATGAGCGTAGAATCCTCGCTGGGCTAGTCACTGCCCGTTCAGCCGTCAGAGGCGCTGGGTGTAGTTGGGAAGATTTAATAGCAAGCAATAGATCCTATGCCCCAGCGAGCTTCGAGACATGACCGGTTACAACATTTTCTGGCTTGGAAACTTAATAACTGGTGTAGTAATAACCCATGCGAGACGTGTCTAAGGCTTGTTTTTGTTTCATGTTTCTTTGTTCTACAGTCTTGAGTTTGTTTTACTCGTTTCACGATGAAAGGTGCGTTTGGTACATGTTGGTATGTACATCTGTCAGTCTGTCACAATAACTTCGGGAACTATGGAAGATTTGTATGTTAGCCTTCCACGGAATGTCGCAACCGAGTGGTCTGGGGCGTGGGTCTAGATCGTTTGGTCACTACGGTCATGGTTTCGAGTTCCGCTGATAGATGTTCACCTTTGTCCTTCTGTTTTCTTTGTGCATTTTAATCTTCAAGAATGTAGATTCACAGTAAAAAGAAATAAAGAAAAGAGAAGGAAAAATGATTAGTCCTTCTTCGCATTCGGGATGTCCCGGGACCAAATCTTGGTCCGAAGGCCTGCTATCGTGATTGAGGTGGTTTCCCTCTGGGGCCCCATGCGGATTGCCGATGTAGTTCCGTAAAAGGCCGCTACCACATCCTTCCATAAATTTGGAATTCATTATTTATTAATTACCCTATTACATGACTTATATTATGAGCTTCTGAAAATGCCGATAAACGATTATCATCAGGGCCTAACGTGGAGTTAGCAAGCAACTTCTTCGAGGCCACACAGCGCAAAAACTCAGAAGACAGCCAACTTTATACTCCCTGTAGTCCATAACTCTCGTGAAGACGTGTGTGTAGTCTGTTCACTACGTACGGCACAGAAGCAATCCTTATTGTCCACCCCTTTCTTTGCACCTCCCATTATACGTGACGTCACCCATCGGCCCTGCTAGATAGGACGCTTTGCCCACTGCTTGTGGCTAGATCTTTTGTTCTGTGAGCGCACATCCGAAGCTGCGTAATAGCGACGTCGGACAAAATAACGTTATTATTAACGTCGTATTGGGATGCGTTAACGAGTGGGAACAACATCAAGTGTTTTATCCAATTACCTCTTCACATTAAAAGGACTTATTTGTGTACAGGAGTGACCAGAAGACCGATTCAGATAATTAAAAGGGAGAAGTTTTATTAGTCAGATCGTACGTTTGTATCACCACTGAAACAACGGAGGTCTTTGGAACATAAAGTGGCAATTGTAATAGTC